TTCCTTCCTTCCTTCCTTCCTTCCTTCCTTCCTTCCTTCCTTCCTTCCTTCCATCCATCCATCCATCCATCCTTCCTTCCCTGCCCACTGCCAGGAGTTCGATCCTGACTGTCTCCAGGTTGACTCAGCCTTCCGTCTTTCCAAGATGTGTAAAATGAGGACCCAGATTGTTGGGGGCAAGAGGCTGGCTCTGGAAACCGCTTAGAGGGGGTTGCAAAGCACGATAAAGTGGGATATAAGTCTAAGGGCTAATGCTCTTTTTCTTAAGGGGAAACTGTCCACGGGACCTGGCACCAGAAGGCCCAGGAGAGGAAACCGACCCTCTGCTGGGGGGCATTTTTCCTTCTCTGGCTGTGCCCAGGGGTTTTTCCCTCCCCAGCCACGAGGTCCGTAGAGAGAAGCTGGGGCCACAGTCCCGCTCCTTCTATCTGGGGGGCTCAGAATGCCGACCTCTCGGCCAGAGGGAGTCAACCCCACTCCCAGCAGCAGCAGCTTCCCGCCTTGGGAAGCAGCCAGCCCGGAGAACAGAGAGGGGATCTTGGCCCCAGTCCAGCCTCCTTTGCTAATTACCATTAGGTTACTCTGATTTCATCACACAGAGGAAATGGGAGGGGGTGAATTCTGCTTAAAAAAAAATAAAAGACCACCCACACGAAAGATGAACGTCTTGCAGCATTCAGGAAATTCCCGCGGCCTGCCTAAGTTGATCCTGGAGGAGGGCCAGGACGCAACCCGAGAGGAATTCGGGGAGCTGATGCCACACCAAGCAAGCGGGGGCTGTCTTCCAGCTCGCGAGGTTTCGCACTCGGCTCTCTGCTCATGAGGACAAAGGGCACCCTAAGTGAGAAGAGACTCACTCACCTCCCGGGCTGCTCAGGGTACTTATGTTTGCAGTAGGCCTCCAGCGAGGCGTAGACCTTTTCCCGCAGTGCCTCGACCTCAGCAGGGTTGGAAAGGCCCTTGGAGTCTGCAAGAGAAGGAGGGAAGGAGAAGCTTAAAGGCCGTTCAAGGCCTCCTCCAAGGAGGTCGGTGTTGTGGCCCGAGGGCACCCAGCAGAGCTGGCGGCAGACTCGGACAGGGAGGAGGTTGGGGAGGAACCTGGGCCAGTCCTGGAGTCTGGGGAAGGCTCTGACGGGGGCTCTGCATCAGAGGCAGAGATGGGGCCAGGGCCATCCGACAGTTATCAGCTGCCTTCGGAGTCGGAGATCATTGGGGCAGAAGAATAGCTGGAGCCTGTTCCCAGTGTGCGCATGCACAGAGCTGCCAGAAGGGAACAGTTAAGGAACAAGGGTCGACTCAGGAGTAAAGGCACAGGTAGATGGTGAATGGCCCCTCCCGTAGGGAATAAAGAGGAGCAAAAAGGGAGTGGGGCTTTTCAGGAGACAATTAGTTCAATTCATTAGTTTCATTAGATTTGTTCCTGACTTCTTGCCAAGTCATTGCTGCTACAGTGTGGCGTCTGAAAGAGATCGGCCTGGCCACTCTCCAAGCCTGATAAAGGTCTGTAATTGGGAACTATCTTGAAAGACTGTTGGCCGGGACTTTGCTGGAGAGGAAATTCACCGTATATTAAGTAAAAGAGGTTTATCGGGATGAGGAGTCGGCTTCGTGCTGTTGGAGGAAGCCTGGGTCACAACAGTCTGGGCCACGCAAGGGGAACGCAGGCTGTCTAGCACCGCAGCTGTAAGGAGCAACTCAGTCTCTGAGGCCACCGCAGTCCCGGTGGGCACCCAGGGCCAATTTGATGCTTTGTGAGCTGGAACCCGACCTGGGAGCCAAGCCGGGATTGCACGAGAGGACATCCGGATCATCTGGATGGAATCGGGTTCTGCATCAGCCGTTCCTCTCCACGTTTCTTGGTCAGGATTGAATAACCTGACAAATCCAGTTACTCTCTCCGGTGCTTTATTTATCTAACGTGAGACTCTCCTCCCACGAAAAGCTTCCTTCCCAAACGCCACCCAGGAGGACTTGCTCCCCGACAGTTTAACAGCCCAAGGAGCTGAACGTCCAGGCTGCCTACCAGACTGGCTCTTCGGCAGCTCTCCTGTCGCAACCGCCTGGTTCTGGAAACGTCCCCTGGCCTTAATGCGCTGCGACAGCCCCTCTTTGTGGAGCCGCCCGGAGGTTTTCTCCCTCTCTGAAGCCGAACCCAAGAGAGGCGCTTGAGTGGCGGATGCAAAGGAGAGCTCCGCCCCTCGGCCCTCAGCATGGGGTGTGGGCCCTCTCAGCCTCCGTGAGGTGCAGCGCCCCCCCCCCCCCGGTTCCCTGAGCCCCTGAACAGAAGCCGCCTTCAGACGTGGCGGGAGCTTCATCCTGGAAGCTTTCAAGAAGAGGCCGGAGGTGGCAAGCAACCCCAGAGTCAGCTACTCTACGGCCACTGGCTGCCCTACAAGGCGGAGCTGGGGGGGAGGGGAAGACGGGCAGTGGGAGGCAGTCCCTTACCTTACAGAGGCTGGGGGAATCAGGCCTGGATTGGGGGGAGGGGTCTTGAATGACTGGTGATTCTCACTTAACTGTTGTGGATCACCGGCAGCCGATGCAGACGGCAGTGGAATCAGACAGTGGGGGGAAACAGGGACCAGTCCGGGAGTCTGGAGAGGACTCGGACGAGGGTCCCGTGTCCAATGCAGAGATGGGGCCAGGGCCATCTGGGAGTGGGGAGCCTCCAGAGTCTGGCAGCAGTGAGGCAGAGGACCCAGGGGAGCCTGTTCCCAGTGCGCGTGTGCACAGAGCTGCTAGAAGGCAAAAGCAGCTGAGACAAAAAGGTGACTCAGGAATAAGGCTGCGAGGTGATTGCTCCTCCCCTGAGGGATAAAAGTCAGGCCTAAGTGACGAAACCTTTGCAGGAAGCAAAGTAGTTTGATCGGTTCAGAGTCATCCTTGAAGCTCTTTGTACTTCGGTTGGTTTCTGTTCTAGTTAATTTGATACTTCTGTTTTGGCAGCACTTCACAGAACTGAAAGGTGTGTGCTTATTTTGGGGAACTGTTTAAGATTCATTCTGGCTGGGAATGAAAACAATTCCCAGCGATGCAATAAAATAGGTTTTGTTTTTAAAACAAGTTTGTGAATAATTACGGTTTACGAAGCCTGGATCAGAACATTAATGACCATAATGGGGAGTGTTGGGGTTGTTGTCATTAGTTGGTGTAGTCAGAGGATGTCTCACTTTAGGACCACACCAATTTTTCATGACAATGCCCAACTGTGGGTGGTGCGGTGACTTAGAGGTGGAGCTCTTGCCTCACAATCAGGAGGCTGTGAGCTCGATCCTAGGTAGGCAGATATTTTTCTCTCTGGGCAAACTAAGAATATATCTGCTGAATATAACTCCACATCGGTGACAGGAAGGGCATCCGGCCAGTAAACACTCAGCTCCATTCAGATGCCCAGACTCCACCCCAAGGCAAGGGATGATGCGGTCATTAAAAGAAGATGATGAATGCCCGCTCCAACTGTGGATTCTTAGTCGAGGACTCCCTGTACCATGTGCCTTGAAGACGTGGGGCTGCCCAGCTATCTTTGAAAATAGCTGCTTCGATCCCCTTGTTCACTAGTCCTCTTTTTCCCCCGGCCAAAGAAAACCTGTCTTGCCGACTGAAGACGCCCGGCCCCAGTTTCAAGGACTGTGAATCTGCTCCCCATGTTCCTCCAGTTCCTCCAGTTGGATGAAGGGCAGGTTGCCAAGGGGGGGGAGGGGAGGGGCCTTCCTCCACCCGACCTCCCTTTTTCCCTTCCTTGTGGAGGAGAGGCAGCTCAGTTACCTGGGTTGAAGAGGACGATCGCTCTCAGACACCCCAACTCCGTCTTGTCCATCTGCATGTCCCGCATCTTCGACACAAGTTCGGTCAGTACCCTGTAGGTGCCCAGCCCCGAGAAGAGAGCTACGTTGGCCTTGTTGTTACCCCAGTGGCATTTCCCTGCCCCTTTTGGGGAATCTCTGGAATCCCAAGGGCTGGCCGTGGTCTCGTTGGTCACCACAAAGGCCACGGAGCTGGACCCCGGGCACAAGAGGGGAGCGGGCAAGGTCACGCATGCCCCCTCCACCAGCCGCTGCTCCTCACCTGTCAAAGATGGCCCCGACTCCCGCGCTGTGGGCACTGTTCCTGTGGACGTGGAGGCCTGTGGCCAGGAGGATCCCGTCTTTGACGGCAATGGATCGGTGGGAGAAAGAGGCGATGAGCAACTCGTTCCAACCTGCGGGAAAGCAAGCGGGGGGGGGGGGAGAGGAGTCACCCAAAGCCTTCCAAGGCAGGGGGGGGCGGTCATTACACCCCCCGAGCTTCGTTTCATCAGGAAATTAATTATCTTGTCTCTGGGCAGAATAAAATTGAATACCAAGCCAGTCTCTCCCATGAGACCCCAGAGTGGGATAAAGAATTTAAAGCAAATACTTCAAATAGTGAAATGCTCGGAAGATCTGGGAGAGCCATGGACGCCCCCCTAGCCTTTCCCATGGTGGGACCAGGCTCCCATCTGGAAGGGGACCAGCAAATCAGGTAGTTTCTTCCTGCCCAGCCATCCTGCATCCGAGCAGAGCTCTTCCCCAAGGCCTGCCGGGAGTGTCCACGCAGAGTGAGGGGGCTTCTTGGGAATGGGAGCTTTGGAAGCAGCAGCCAACGGAGGGAGAGACCTCTTGGCTGCTGCTACTGCAGAGTCTACAGAAGACTGTGAATTTGCATGCTTGAGGAACCTCTGCTTGACTAATAGATTAAACAGATTAACAGAGTTGGAAGGGACCTTGGAGGTCATCTAGTTCAACCCCCCACCCAAAAAGGAGACCCTACACTATTTCTGAGAGGTGGCATTCCAGCCTCTTCTTGAAAGCTCCCAGGAACGAAGCTCCCACAACTTCCAAAGGCAACTTCTGTCCCATTGTTTGCTCTCCCTGTCAGGAAATATCTCCTTATTTCCAGGTTGAATCTCTCCTTGATCAGTTTCCATCCATTGTTCCTTGACTGGCCTTCGGGTGCTTTAGAAAACAGCTTGACCCCCCTCTCCTCCTCTCTGTGGCAGCCCCTCAAATATGGGAAGATGCTCTCCTGTCTCCCCTGGTCCTTCTCTTCCCTAGACTAGCCAGGCCCGGTTCCTGTCATTATTCATCGTATGTTTTACTCTGCAATCCCCTCATCCTCCTGGTTGCTCTTCTCTGCACTCTTTCTAGAGTTTCAATATCTTTTTTATAGTGTGGTGACCAAAACTGGATTCAGTGTTCCAGGTGTGGCCTTACTAAGGCTTCCTAGAGTGGTAATGATCTTGATTGTCTTTCTCTGTTAATGCAATTTAGGACTGCATTAGGGTTTTTTGGCAGCCGCTGCACACTGCTATTTAGACTCCAAGATCCCTCTCACAGTTCCTACTATTGAGCCTGGTTTCACCCAGACTCTGTGTGTCCTTTGGGTTTTTCTTGCCTAAGTGTAGGACTTTGCTTGTCACCCCAACTCTGACCTGCAGCTTCCACACGCGGCTGCCCTGTCCCCCACAGCCAGCCCTCCTCCAGCTCTTTGAAACCGGCCACAGCCACTCCCCCCCCCACACACACATTTGGAGTCTAAAGGAAGCCACTGGATGGGGGTCCTTCGCTCTCTGCCCCACATATGTGTGCGGAGGAAATAATAAACAGCCCTTTGAGAGCAATAAACATCTTTCAGGACAAGCTTCTGTGGTTGCAACCCACAAGTCCTGGAACTCTCCAAATTATTCCAGAGGTGTGAACTGGGACCCGCTTGCCAAGATGCACCAGAGGAAGCAGTTGGGAAGCTCAGCCGGCCACTCCTCCTCCGAGCCACTTCAGGGTCCTCGGCCGCTCTATGAGGTGACCTCGAAGGCTGCTCGGGCTTCCCCTGTTCCCCGGCGGAAGGGACTAAGATGAAGCTCTGCATGTAAGAGCTGAAATCCCCCTCCTCCTCCCCCTCCTCCCCCTCTTCTAGTATTCTTCTTCTCCCTCTCCTCCTCCCCCTTCCTCTTCTTCTTCCTCTCCTTTTCCTCCTCCTCCTCCTCTTCCTCCTTCTCCTTCCTCTTCCTCTCCTCCCACCTCCTGTTCTCCCTCCTCCTCCTCCTCCCCCCTCCTTCCTTTTCTTCTTTTCTTCTCCTCCTTCCTTCTCCTCCTTCCTCCTCCTCTCCTCTTCCTCCTCTTCCTCTTCTTCCATATCTGTCATCAGATGTTGGCAATCATGCTGCCCATCCTACTTTGATCAACAGCTGCATGAAAAAAAATGCTGTTAAGTTTTGTCCAAACTGGTCCCTTCGATTTTGAAGCCCTGATGTTCTTCTTCTGCCTGGACCTCGTTTGCCTTCAATCAAACCATCAATCAGAATAGAGCTGGAAGGGGCCTTGGAGGTCTTCTAGTCCAGCCCCCTGCTCAAGCAGGAGAAACCTATACTATTTCAGACAAGTGGCTGTCCAGTCTCTTCATAAAAACCTGCAGTGATGGAGCAGCCACAACTTCTGGTGGCAACTTCTGTTCCACGGGTTAATTGTCCTCCCTGTGAGGAAGTTTCTCCTTCATTCCAGGTTCCTTCCCTCCTTGATCAGTTTCCATCCTTTGCTTCTTGTCCTGCTTCTCTGGTGCTTTGGAGAACAATTTGTCCCCCTCTTCTTTGGGGCAACCCCTCAAGTACTGGAAGACCTGCTATCACGTCACCCCCAATTCTTTCTTTTCTCTAGACTAGCCAGACCCAAAACCTGCAACTGTTTTTCATGTTTTACTCTGCAGGCCCTTAGTTGCTCTTCTCTGCGCTTTTTCCAAAGTCTGAGGATCTTTTTGGTGATGTGCTGACCAACACTGGATGCAGCACTCCAGACATGGCCTTACCGAGCCTTTATAAACCAGTATTAACACTTTATGTGATTTTGATTCTGTGCCTCTGTTTCTACGCCAACCAAGAATTGATTTTTGGCTGCTGCTGCACACTACTGGCTCCTGTTGAAGTGACCGTCCACTAGGACTCCAAAATCCCTCTCTGGAAAGAAGGAAATGTCATATATATATGTTTTCTACAAGTATGAACAGAGTCAAAAATCACTGAAAAGTCGGGCAGTATCTCTGGTGAAGAAAAATTGGTTCCTTAGGTGGCATCTCTTTCACTGGCTGATGGCTGACCCTATCGGGATGTTCCTCTCACGTCCAACTCCTTGGCTATCGTTTGAACCCCAATTCTGGCCCCGCCCTCTGGGACAAGAGTGAAGGAGACCCCCCCTCCTCCTCTGGGTGCCTCTGCAGTTGCCGGAAGTGCTGGGCAAAGCAGGGGAAGAAACTCCCGGGTCGGAATGCTACACTGTGGCACCTGGGGAGGGAGCAGGAACTGCAGACAGGCCCCCTCACAGCCACCCACGAGAGACAGACGTCAGGCAGCCCCTCTTCCCTCAGCCCAGAGAGGTGAAAAGCCCCAGGGCCTCCAGCCCCCCTTCCCTCCTCCTGCCTCTCTTTCTGGAGCGTGGCAGCTCCATGGCTAGTCTAGCGAAGAGAAGGACCAGGGGAGACAGGAGCGCAGCCTTCCAATATTTGAGGGGCTGCCCCAGAGAGGAGGAGGAGGGGGTCAAGCTATTCTCCAAAGCACCCAAAGGCCAGACAAGGAAGAATGGATGGAAACCGATCAAGGAGAGATTCAACCTGGAAATAAGGAGAAACGTTCTGACAGGGAGAGCAACCAACCCCTGGAACAGCTTCGACTTCAGAAGTTGTGGGAGCTTCATCCCTGGAAGCTTTCAAGAAGAGACTGTCAGAAATAGTGTAGGGTCTCCTGCTTGGGCGGGGGGTTGGACTAGATGACCTCCAAGGTTCCTTCCAACTCTGTTAATCTGTTAATCTAGGCAAAGTACACTTCTTTGTCATTGAAAAACATGATGTCCTGTCCTGGCAATTATCACCATCTGAACAGCTCCAAGATGGTGACTTGAGATGTTCTCCACACAGTCCTCTTTTCTCCAGGCCGAAGCTACCACTGCATCCAATGCTTCCTCATTATTATTAGTTTAACCAAGAGTCTTAGTTACAGCCAATCGGACATACTGCTGTTTGCCCACGTCTTCTGTGCTTAGTTGCCGTGAGCCAATGGAACAGAAGTTGTGGGAGCTTCATCCCTGGAGGCTTTCAAGAAGAGACTGGGCTGCCTTCTGTCAGAAATGGTGTAGGGCTTCCTGCTTGAGCAGGGGGTTGGACTAGATGACCTACAAGCTCCCTTCCAGCTCCGTTAATCTGTAGAATCTGTACTAAGAGCCTGAATGCTTCCTCAGCTGTCCTGACCCTCTCCCACAGAGCTCCCTTCCCCCCTCCAAGTGCCTCTCTGACGGAGCTCCGGGCTGACTCGCTACTCACCGGCTCGGAGGAGGATCACCTGGTCGTCCAGGGGGAGCTCCGAGAAATGGGGAATCCGCTTGGCCCACTCCACCAGGGTGAACAACTGCTTGTCTGCTGCTTGGCAGATGTTGGTGACCGGGTCATTGGGCTGCCGAGAGAAGAGACCCCATGTTGGGCATCAGAGGGCCAAGAGCCTGCCTCTCTCACCATCCCCTGCAGGTTCCCTCCTTAGGCCAAAAGCCCCCCCCCCCCAAAAAAAACCCGTCTCCTGTCCTGTATCAGCTTTGGAAGCCATATTAGCACTGAACGCTTCTTACGCTGCCACATTCTTGAGCCTGGGAAAATGGGAGGGGGGAATTTCTTGGAGAGCATGAGGTTAGACAGAATAGCATCCTTCTTCTAAGTCAAGGCCATGTCATTTCTGCACCTGGGTGAGAGGACGTCTCAAGCTGGGACGGAGGGTGATTGGGGCATGTGATGCCATGAGGGTTGCAGGGGGTGGATTTCTAGTTTTTTACTTATTGCAAGGAAACCTGTCACTTTCAGATTCGGGATTTCCCAGATGTGCCAGTTAAAAAAGAAATAAAACCCAAATAAAAAAGAACTTTTGAGAAGATGTCTGCCTCGGAGTTATTGGTTGGAGTGGAGGTTTTCTGGAGCGCTGACACCCTGCTTGCACTGAAGGGGGGCAGTTGGCCATCATCTCTTCTGCCCCTGAAGTACAAGGGGGGAGATTTTGGAAACCTGGATTCTACGAAAGGGGTGACCTTCTCATCTTCCTTGGCTGCTGCTGCTGCTTTTGGGCTGTGGGGGCATCCATTCTCTCCACCACCACCCCAGGTAAAGTCAGGGTCTCTTGGGAAAAGGGCCCTGGGAGAGGTGAGATGCCCACAAGATAGTTCTTGCCAGTCCTTTGTCTGCCATCCCCCCACAACCCCCCCATCCAGCCTGGCCTCCCAAATGAGGGACCAATGGAGGCCCCTCGGGGAGGGGAGATGAAGTGGCCCCCTCCCTCCATCTACCTCTGGGGCTGCAGCACCATTCCCCTGGGCCGAGGGGCTTAGGGGGCTGCTGTGAAGCCAGGCAGATGCCCGGGGGGGAGCAGGTCTGCACCTGGGGGGCTGGGGGTCAGAGAGAAGCCGGAAGGAAAGTGGGAGGGGGGAGAGGAGGATGGGCAGCTCTGACAGAGGGACACCTCCACCTGAAAGCAGAAACACCCCAACCCTTTCATGAAGTTCCCGGATGCCAGGATCGAAGGCTGTGATGCCCAACCCCCAACAGGAGGGGTCTTCCTTCGGTGGGCAAATTCACAAGGCCCATGGCTCTTAGGACACCCCCCGCTCAGTTCCTCCTCTTCCTTTTTTTTATTTTTTTTATTGAACATAACATTTAAAAACATTGAACATGGTGAAGTCATTTTGATGTAACTTTTGGTTCTCATTCTAGTATAGTATAAGTATATACATTCTTATAGACATTTGTTCATATATTTGCAGGTACATACATTTAATCATCCTTACATGACATCCTCCTTAGTATCATTTTAATCTCGTAGTCTCAGGTATCCTCTCAACAGCTCTTTTCCCACTGAAGTCCTTCCTTTCTGTCCCCATCAATGATAAAATCCATTCCAAATTATACAATATTCCGATTTGTCCTTATTTTTCATCTCTAGGGTAAGCCTATCCATTTCAGCGCATATTAAAATGTTATTTATTACTTCGTCCTCACTAGGGAGTTCCTCCTCTTCCTATCAGTGCTCTAAGCCGGGGTCTCCAACCTTGGCTGCTTTAAGGCTTGTGGACTTCAACTCCCAGAATTCCCCAGCCAGCATAGCTTGCTCTCTTGTATCCCTTCCTCTGCACTCATTTTAGCTGGTAAGATAAAAAGAAACAGACACGGCTGGCTGGGGAATTCTGGGAGTTGAAGTCCTCCAGGCTTAAAGCGGCCAGGGTTGGAGACCCCTGCCCTAGGGGTCTCTATCCCTTGCCTCTTGCTCCAGCCAGCTCTACCAAGCCAGAGATCCACAGCTCTGGCGTCACTGGGGAAGAACCCGCGATGCCCCCAACAAGTCTCGGCGCCAGGACAAGGCGGCTGCTATGGGGAAATGAGTCTTTCTCCTGGGACTGCAAAATCCAGGGCAGCCTGCAAAGGACCCAGGACCCGTCCCAGATTCCCTGCTCAGCGCACACACACACACACACACACACACACACACACACACCTTCCTCAGGCACTGCTTGCCCGTGGAGCATCCCAGGCTGAACACCATGCCCAGATGCCCACAGGTTGCAGGGCTGCTTCCAAGGAGAAGCTGGGCCTTCATTTGGGGCTGCCTCCTCTGCCCGCTGGCCTTGCTCATCTGGCCAGGGGGAAGCAGCCGCTTTCGGTGCCTTGCCAAGAGTCCTGGCTGGCAAAGGAAAGGCACAGGCAGTGGGCCAGGCTCCCTTGGGCAGGATTGGCAGAGACTCTTTGGATGGCAGAAAGCACTTCCTCCCCTACAGCTGCTTTCTCAGCCCAGAGAAACAATGAGAAGGAGAAATTGGGGTGGGGGGGGGAGGAATGGGGTTGCTTTGGGGGTGGGGAGGCCCAAGGCTTTGGGGTGAACAGCCCTTCTAGCCTATCTTGGGTGGTCCCAGCCTTCCTCTGGC